ACATGGCGTCTAACTAATTGTGAAGAGTGCAATTTTATCTTTCGTAGTGTCCTGAAAAGTTTCAAAGGAAAAAACTTTGGATTGGATTGGTATTGAAAAGAAGCTATACTAACATGCTAAATACTAAGAGAGAGGAAACAACTGTATGAGGCTAATCTGTGGGGAATTCATCTAGTTATAGTGAAGAAGACTGGACAGGTGGTATGTGTGAGTATATTTCAGCTTGTTCTCTTATGGAGAAAGGAAGGGGTGACAGTGGAAGTCAGTGACCCCAGGGCCCAGTCCTTGAAGAAGAAACTCCTGATTCCTGGCAGTAGTGGGCAGTGATTTCATCTCATGGGTCCTTGCAGATAGACATTGGGGTAGGAGGGAATTTTGTGGGATCTGAACTCTGAACTGGCTACCTCATCTCACCAGAATGGTTGAGGGAGAAGTGATCTCAGCCTAGGGACCCCAGTTAAGCTCTTTTGTGCTCCCTGTCCCTACACTGGAGAACTCTCCAGTCTGGGGAGGAATTTCAGGAGAAGAGCTAGCTGCCTGCCTCTTAGTTTGTGGGAGTGGCTTGGGGCAAGGCAACCAGGGTCCTGAATTTAGAGGGCATCGATAGTTCTTACAGTACTTCAGGAGCCTAGAAATAACTTGCCACCTAGTTTGGGGCTGTTTTTTGGGTCTGTTTGTTTCCAAACCCATGATTTCATCAGCACTGATGGGGAAATTGTCTACCACAGCCTTTTACAGTGGGCTGGAATACTGAAAGGCTGTGACTCTCCTAGAGTCACAAAGCCAATGTGTTAAAGGCAGGACTTGAAGCCAAGTAGTACTGACTCTAGATCATTTCTCTATCCACTATGACATGCTGCTCCCTGCAACACCTAGTTAGTAAGAATAATTAGTTAATATCGAAAGGTAACCAGGCAAGTTCCTTTTCTGCATTGCACTACTCTCTACCTATCCATCTGCTTTCCAGGCAAGCTTTACCACCTGATTTTCATGGATGTCCTCATTCTCTGTTTTCTCAGTGATCTAATTCTCTCCTTCAGCTAAGGGTGAATTTGGAGCCATTTGCCCCAAGCAGAAAAATTCCTCACCTGTAAAACTGATAAAAAGATCTGTTGTGAGGACCCTAAAATGTGAACAAGTATTTTTATTTTTCCTGGAAATCTGCAGTCGGGGGTGGAAGACCATTTTAGGAGGTTCAAAAGCAGAAGACAACTGTCCTAAGCCACTATCAGGAACTAGAGACTTTTCTGAGGATGGAAGTATAAAGTTGTTAACAGCTGAGAAACTGGAGGAAGAGCTTGGAGGCAGAAGTGGTGAGGATAGCAAGAGATGCCTATAAATGCTGGACTGCCTCTGAATCTGGAGAAAGAGAACTGCAGACCTTCGTGTCTATGCACTCTGAAGTTTGATCTCTAAAGTTTCCCTGGGGGGGGGGGAGCTAAAGAACATGACCTTCCCATAGTACATAAAGACATTTCTCTCACTACATGTTCCTTACACATTCAAAATTTTTTCTTAGTGTAGCCTTTGAGTTAGGTGCACTGAACAACCACACCAACCCCAACCCCTCTGCATCAGCTCATTCCCTTATTAATTCTTTCTCCAGATCAAAAGTGGGCAGGCTCCGAGATATTATCCGAAAATACCCAAATTATTCTAATTGGCTTGGCCCTTGTCCTGAAGTAAAACCAGGAAATCTTTTTCCATGAGCTAACTTTGACTCTCTCAATCTTGAACCAAGTTATGGTCTTTGAAAAATTGTCAATGGCTATGTAATTTGTTATTAACAGTATAAAATACTATAGAAACACAGATAAGCATTCAAATAATGCTACCATGGGACTCACAGCCCTCTTTCTACCTTCCTACAAGCTATTCTCAGTTAGCCTGAAAGGACTTTCTGAAGGAAAAGGATCCAATTTTCATTCTGGCTTTAATGTTTCCAGTTCTGTGCTCTGGGAAAACAGGATAAAGCAGGATCTGTTGACAGGACTTAACTTTCTTCATTGCCATATCCACTGATTCTGCCTAGTTTCAGATCATTTACTTCTGTCCCACACCTCTCCTCTCCAGTTTGCACGTTCATTCATTTTATGCCTCTATCTCAACTCCCCTGTCTGGTGCCCCTCATCTGGGATGGAAGTCTCTTCCTCAAGGCCACTGGAATGCAAAAACAAACAACTGTCCAGTAGGTTAGTCTTATTGAGGAGGCAAGATGTTACAGAAGGAAAAAGCACCAAACTGTAGCCAAGAAAAGTTTTGTTCTGTGCAATCTCAGGCAAAGGACTTCACTTTTCTGGGCCTTAATTTCCTCTTCCATAAGGCTGAACTAGATGGTCCAATTCTGAAGTCCCTTCCAACTCTATTCAGGGACTCTATGACATGAAAAGATAAGACACTGGGCCTGTGATGTAAGTGCCAAACCAAAGGACACAGGCAGGAAGTACCACAAGACCAAGAGTGCTGTGGAATGGAAGGATCTGGGAAAGCTATATGATACATGTGGGAACTGAAATGGGTCTTGAGAGACACAGACTGTGTAAGGAGAGGGGAGGACATTCCCGGTGGAGTGAGTGCTAAGGCTTGGAGTCTGGTATGCTGGGGGGGCACCCAAGCCCAGCTGAAGTCCACAAGGCATTCTCATGCTACCCTACTAGGCAACACAGAGTGACAAGGGCTGGATGACAGAGTAGTTATTTAATTTGGAAATTTATTATTTACTATTAGTTATTTAATCTGTAAAATCTCTAGCAGAGTGTTCAAGGATCTACCCTTCACTGTTTTAACATTTTTACCCAAATGAAGAGACACATGGCTACTAATCAAATTTGTAGATGATGAAAGCTGAGAGGGATACTTAGCACATTAGATAAGGAAGTCAGGATTTTCAAAACTTGATCTAGCCAGAACAATGGGGCCAAATACAATAAGATGAAATTTAATAGGGATAAATGTAAAGTTCTACACTTATGTCTAAAAAAAAAACCCCAGAAACCCTCAACTGCACCGAGACAATATAGAGGAGGTCGGGATAGGCAAAGACCTATGTGTGAAAAAGACCTTTTCAGCAAACTCTTAAGTCGACAGTGTGGCAAAACAAGTACACACACACACACACACACACACACAAACACAACCATTATACAATCCAATACAAAGAGGGTTATGGCAGTCTCTTACTTGGCCCAGGTGAAGGCACATACCCAGAGGATTTAGGTTCTTTTCTAGGCACCACTTTTTATGGATACTGACAAAGTAAGAGTTGGTGACACTTGAGAATCAGCTGAAACTGAGAATTATTTAGTCTGGAAATGGGAAAATTTAGGCAAGAACCTGATAGGATCAGATTCCTGCTTTGCTACAGGACTAGAAACAATGGTTGGATGTTGCATTCAACCCAATAGAAGGAAATTTGAAATTAGTGGTCCCAGGATCCCAGATCTGGAGTCAGAAGCCCTTCTCTCCACCCATCTCTGCACCCCCACCCTGGTCATTTAGTCCAGCTTTCTCATTTTACGTATTAGTAAACTGAGGCCCAGAGAAATAAAGTGGCTTTCCTATGTACACAGTAATAATTTTTGAAGCTAACTAGGATCTGACCTCTGGTTTCCCAACTCTTAAGTCGAGTGCTCTTTGCAACACACCAAATGGCTTCTGAACAACTCCCTGGCAACCACCTGACATCCAATTTCTACAGAACCTGAGATACAGACACCTGCACACACAGGGACAGACCCCAGCAGGTCTGGAAGAAGAGCAGCTGAAAGGGACTAGATTTGCTGCCAGGGCAAACCCAGGAAGTGGGTGGGGAAAATCTGTCACAGTTTATTAAATTTGAGTTAGGAGAGACTATAGAGATAATTTAGTCCAACTCTCTCATGAAGATGATGAGAATAAAGTGCCTTATCCAAGGCCGTACAACTAGTCAAAGGAAGTGTTGGGACTAATATCCAGGCCTCCAAATTCCTAGGTCATTGCTAGATTTTCTTCCTGGACAGGAAACCCAAAGTATCAAGAGCTGCCAGCTCCATAACAGCTGGAGTTGAGGTCACACCCATTCTTTAGAACATTATCAGATTCCAAAATTCCATCATCTCTAACTCACTCATTCCTTTCAAACTTTATAAACTTCAACTCTCATGCCCTTTTAGCCATACTTGTTCCAAATGAAGAGTCCTTACTTTTTAAGTCTATCTCTTAAATGGAAATCCAATTGGGGACATTATAACATATTGCCTGAAAGGAGTACTGGATTGAGAGTTGAGGATCTGGGTTCAAATCTTCACTCTGCCTCTTCCTTGGTGTAACCTTGGCTGAATCACTTTTCTTCTCTTGAGCCTGCTTCCTGATAACCCTAGGGGATTGGACCACATCATCCCCAGGTCCCCGATAACTTTAACACTCTATAGATAACCCAACTATTACCAACTATTTCAGGTAAAATGTCACCTCCCCTGCCAGACCAGACTAAGCTGCCTAAGTGTAGAAGACTTGTCTTATTGGAGTCTGCACCCTGACCCATAATCCCTCTTCACATCCAGGCATAGATTTGTGTACCCTGCTATGGTATAGCCCGAGTTCCTCTGTAGGACCACTCCCTCTATGTCATTTCTCCTTTGGGTCTCAGTTTTCATTGCTGTAAAATGGGAACAACAGTACTTGACCCACCCACCCCCAACCTAATTACCTGAGGCAATACTGTGGTCCTATTACTACTGTTATGAGGGTTGAAACAATGACTAAGAATTCTGAAAGCACTATATAAAAATGCTGCTATGGTCAGTCAGAACCCAAGACATCTACTGATGGGAAAGAAAAGATGAGACTGCTGAGCTTTGGTCTCCACAGAGATATTTACAGGGAGGAGAGAAGAGAGAGATGGAAGGAGAGATGAGTGCAGAGGGAGAGAGAAGGCCAATGTCTCCTCCTACCAGGTCTGAGATGTCTTCTGAGACAAAATGTTTGGGGTGCAGCAGGCAAAAGTAGAAGCAGAGGCTGTGGCTGATACACAGATAATGACTTTATTTAAGCTGAAGACCTGGGAGGTGTGAATGTGGAGGACTGCTAAGAGTCAGGCTCAGGTGGGGGTGTTGGCTTCTCTTCATCAGGGGGGCAGTCAATGAAATCGGCCAGCATAGCAGCTGTGTCATCCTGTTCCTTCTGGAGAGGTAGAAAGCCACAGACAAAAGGGAAGTATAGATAAGGTTGGAAGCTGTAATGAGCCTATGAAGCAGCCTCTTCCTCCTCCACCACCCACCAGCACCCCCCTCCTTTCCATATCCCTCTTACCT